CACAGAGGTTATGTCTAGACTACATCCCTCTATCACCAGAGGGATGTAAATTAGACATACCAAAATTGCTAACGAAGTGGGGATTTAAATATCCCGTGCTTCATTAGAATAAAAATGGCCACTGGTTTTTGCTGACGTGGCAATTTGCCGGCAGTCAAGACAGGGATCGGTCGACAAGGAAAGCCTTTTCTGACTGATCCCACAGAGGTTATGTCTAGACTACATCCCTCTATCACCAGAGGGATGTAAATTAGACATACCAAAATTGCTAACGAAGTGGGGATTTAAATATCCCGTGCTTCATTAGAATAAAAATGGCCACTGGTTTTTGCTGACGTGGCAATTTGCCGGCAGTCAAGACAGGGATCGGTCGACAAGGAAAGCCTTTTCTGACTGATCCCTTATGCCTTGTGCAACGAGTGTAGAGAAATGTAAGATAGAAGAGGCTTAGCAAGAACGTTGTAACCCTCCACGGTCATAGAGCCAGGGCAATGAAAGCTAGAAGACATTCAGCAAGAACCTCTAGGATCTATGGGTATGTCTACTCTACCACCCTAGTTCGAACTAGGGTGGTAGTGTAGACATACCCATAGAGACTATAACACCAAAGGCCAGAGATTCCAGTTTCTTGGGATCACAACCACGCCTTACCCTCTGGGGGAGAGTTTTAGGTGGGACAAAAAAGCACAAAAGTAAGGGAAAACTCTCTCCCCGTTGAAAGAGACTGGCGGGAAAGCGAAGAGCAGATCCTCACTGCTGAGGTCATAAAACGACACACGCCCCTGCTCATAGTCGAGATAGACGCCAATCTCATTGTGGTTGTCTTTGAGGGGCACGTAGGTGTAGGAAGGGCTGGTGAGCGCCACGCAGAGGTGATAATATTTCTGCAATCCCAAGACCCCCGTGAGGGGTCGAAAGATAATGGGTCCCTTCCTCCTCACCGATTCTCTGGCCACACCCACAGTCCAGAACAATCCATCCACTTCCACCTCCCAGTAGTGTCTTCCCGAGGTGAATCCTCCACAGCCCAGGACGCAGGGATCAGTGTCAAATCTCTCAGGACGGTCAGGCATCTCCTGACTTGGTTTTCCCCATCTGGCGTCTTTCAGGTCTTCGGAGAGGATGAGTTCAGGACCAGCCGTGTCCGGATCCAGAGTCACGTTTACTGCACGACAGAGAGAATATCAGAGCATGAGAGTCTGAGACCAGAACTGGGGAAAGGGTGGATAGAATATTCAAGAGGTCAGATGCCGGCAGAAAATAATCCTCTGCAACTGGATATACTCCGTGTCCCTCTGACCACAATGTCGTTTTCCTAGGTGAAAAGTAAAGGCTGATTGTGACACCAAATCCGTGGATGTTAAAAGCCTACCAGGGTTGCTGGAGCGACCGATGTCCAATGTTGAAAAACTAGAACGTTCAGAGGTGAGCATATGGACAAGACACAAGGACATTTTACATGTGTGTTTTAAAAGCAAGAAACATTGAAAAGACAGGACATCTGAAGCGAGGAACACTCAAATAACCTTAACTCTGCCCCTCGGTGTACTCACTCTCCTGTCTTTCCCTTCTTCTATCCAAGGGACCTGGAACAATTTGTACAGTGGGAGTGCTGAGAGCTACTGAACCAAACCATAAACACCATCAGTGATGGGAACCACTCCAAGACAGGGGGTGCGGCAGAACCCCAGCTCCGGCACCTATTCTTCCATCCCTCCCGGCTCTGTAAAACGTGCCATTTTAAGATGAAGGATTCCCTACCACCCCTTAGGCAATTTATTCCAGTGTTTCACTCCCCCTGGCAAAAACAGTGCTACACTGTGTCCCTGTGAACCAATACAGCTTCTGTTCTACTTGCTGCCTGAGAGTCCCATCAGGCTGCGGATGGGGGTGCAGGACCGGGTGACTTCCCCCCACTCCTCCGTGACAGTCTTACCTTTGAATTGCTGCAGAGTTTGGGGACGGAGGGGAAGCTCTGGCGTCGTCCGCCTGGGTTCGGGAGAAAAAGCCATTGCGGCCGCACCTTCCTCGTCTCACCGCTACGGGAGGAAAAACACCAGCCACGCGTTTATTCCCCTTCCTCCGACTGCTCGGCTCAGGGGGTAGATAAAGGTCAAGGGGCCCGTACGTGCCTAGGTGTGGCATGGGTCTGCGGCTGCTTGGGGGAGTGATGGGGAAAGACCCACAAGGGGCAGTGTAGGGCAGTGGGAAGAGCACTGGACTCGGGGTGCCAGCTCCCTGTTCTGCCACGGGCCCGGTTGTGTGGCTGAAAGGACGTCACGTCCCCTCCCGTCTTCCGGCTGGCTGGTCCGGACTGTCCACTGTCCTGGGCAGAAATTGTCCTTCGCTGTGAGGGTTGCAAAGGGCAGGTGTGTGCATGGGGGAGAGAGGGAGGAACAGGAGGGGGCATGTGCCCCAAC